CATCGCTCTTAGGTAGGAGGCCAACGCTCTTAGGTTGGAGGCCAACGCTCTTAGGTTGGAGGCCATCGCTCTTAGGTTGGAGGCCAACGCTCTTAGGTTGGAGGCCATCGCTCTTAGGTTGGAGGCCAACGCTCTTAGGTTGGAGGCCATCGCTCTTAGGTAGGAGGCCAACGCTCTTAGGTTGGAGGCCATCGCTCTTAGGTTGGAGGCCATCGCTCTTAGGTAGGAGGCCATCGCTCTTAGGTTGGAGGCCATTCCTTATCAGTTTTGTGTGATTGTATCATCGTCCCCCATGGCGTCACCCTGAAATCTGTCTGTGGCTCCTAGGCCTGAGCTTGCTGAGTTTGGTCCCGCCACTTCGATGGCCTCCCATCATGACGCTTCATGTACCAGATCCGAGAGGAACACAACTTTCAGGGAATGCGTTTCAATTCTTGTTTCTAACTGCTTCTAGTAAAGCACTTGTTCCTAGTAGCTTCTTGTTACTACTAGTAAGGCACTTGTTACTGGAAGCGATGCACTTGTTCCTAGTAGCGTCCTTGCTCCTAGTAGTAAGGCCAGGAGCCCCTAGTAGCGTCCTTTGCTCCTAGTAGCGATGCACTTGTTACTAGTAGCGATGGCACCTGTTTGAAGCGTGTCTACACGGAGATGAAGCCGTCAAGATTGCGCCGTGCGAAGGCGTGAAGATTGATGTGACGATGTGACAACAGAATTGGTAAATTGACAGAGCCTCTTGAAGCCGACTTGGGCTAGCCTGGCAAGTGGGTTTGAGCTTGCAACATTTCTCGGATTTGATGTATGACAACCCCTCCCAAGAGTCGCCAGTGAGTATATAGCCAGTTCTGCGTCTATCAAAACAAATTATTCTAGCTTTCTAGCCATAGTCTTTGCCAGTTTGCTATAGAACTTCACACTGAACACAATGAAGGAGCCTTTGGACATTGTGATTCCCTGTTCCTTTGATAAAGCTGTCCTGTTACGTAGTCCGGCTCCACGACGGCGACGATTTGAGGCAGCTTGCTGCCTCAAGCACTTGCTCGCAGTTCACGATTTTGAGCTCCTTGAGGACGGCCAAAAAAAACAAGGACCTGCGCAACAGACGGGACCTAAGCCATCGTTCCCGTCTCACTGGTGCTCTGTTTGATTTGCTTGTGCGAAAATCATCTCTAAAGTCTCAACAAGTTTGGAATTCAAGCTTGGAAATTCTCAAAGCTTCTCAGGCATCAACGCTTCTCAAGCTTGTCAGATGTCCTGGCCTAGTCCCGACTTCACGATGCCTTGTAAGCGAGTCAGCTAGTCACAAAACCTTCGCAGCGGCACCGACGAGCCTTCGCAGCCTCACCGGGCGAGCGCTTACCTCAATGTGTCAACATCGGTGTGAGGACTGCTGCTCCGTTGTGGATTCTGAGCTGAAGACGTCGGCCTCAGTTTTGCGTGTATGATGGGGAGAGAGAAAAATGCATTCTGGTTGGTAGGCAGTGCATGCATATTTCGGGAGCCAATGTCCACACTATTTAGACTCTCTATCTAGAGTAATTCAATCAAGGGGCCATAAGCCTCAAGAAGACATGCGGAGGACAGGTCAAGGTTCTGCGCGCGTTGCTTCGCGCTTGGGCCCCCGGAGCCAATAAGCGCTCAAAGGGCACACATCAGATATGTATGTGCTGGGCAACGGCAGAAAGTCGATGTGAAATGATGTGAACATGTGCAGCTGTATTGCAGGTAATCATAGGGAGTCACACCAATCCGATTGGCAGGCATCGAGCCACTTGGCTCAGTAGAGCTTGCCATCTTTTTGGACAATTCCGCCTTCAAATTCGGCGGCTGCGGAGGCCTCTACAAGTCGAGTGTTTGGGCTGTGCTTGACACATTCTCCTCCAAGTCAAACAATATTCTCCGGGACTCAACACGACTGAAAGTCAGGCGGCTGATCTCTTTTGCAACGCCTAGTCAGTATGGTGACCCAGCACCTCTTCTTTGAAGAGTTCAAGTCGCCAGCGTGGCATGCAAAGGTTGGAGGTTGCAGTCCCGTTGCTTGTTGAGTTCCCCTGCATTGGGGATGTCAGTTTAATCCAGTCAACATGGTTCCATCCTTGTTATTCGTCTCTTTGGACCTTCAGTTCGTTTCGTCCAAGACTTGCAAGACAGCTTGCTATTTTACACTACACTACTGTGCTTCAACTTCACTACCTCTTTAAGGGTCTGAAAGGAGGGAAAACATGGGCTTAGGTCGGCCTTTTCGAATACGGCACCTTTTTTGGGCGCGTTTAAGGGGACCCTGATCTTCTTTTGTTCCCAGTCCTACGGCCTAATGCATCCTATGGCCACGGGACTTGGACTTCGTCGTGAACTTCTCTGTCTTGTCTACTTCCTCTTCGATCGCTCGCAAAGCCTGTCCTCCAATAGGGTCTGCTGCTGGACCAGTGCAGGCAATGAATCAAAGAAACCGACAGCCGTGCAAGTTGTCTTGGAAATGCTTACTAGTGACAACAAGCTACTAGGTTGGAGGCCATCGCTAGTAGGTTGGAGGCCATCGCTAGTAGGGTGGAGCCATTGCTGCTAGTAACAAAAAGTGTGTTGGAAATCCTTCAAAACTGACAGCAACTGGCAGCTAAATGCTTTGGACCCTGCATGCGTGCGCATGCACAGAATGCTCCTGCACATTCTTTCACTCACAGTGACAGCACTTCTGTGTCAGCAGGACAAGGATACAAATCATTAGGAGTTTTAAGCAGAACCGTGCTGTAGATGACAAGGACCCCCATTAGTCGATAAAGGCCGATGGTTGATCAGCACCTTCTCGCATGGTCTAGTGAAGTGTCCTGCACTGTGAGCATATGTATAGCCAGTTGTGCTGAAAAGATCTGTTTCTCTGGAAAAAAACTAGGTGCACGTTGATTTGGCTAATTCTCCCAACCTGTTCTTCAGGAAAACAGTTAAACACCGACCTCCCTTTGGCTGTGGATGAGAGACCTGTACCTACAATGCACCCCAGTTTTGGTGGTGTTTACTCTTCTCTTTGCATCAACATGCACCACGAAGAGATCTTGATCACCTCCGCCTTCAGCGACACCTGCAGACATGCTGGAGCCCTGACCCCACCATATGTGGTTGACTTTGCATGGTTGATGGTCTTTGCACGTTGTTCTTAAGATTGAAAAAGTGAAAAGGGAAGGATCGCTTTCACACCTGTCAGAAGCATTCGGACATGTATCTTCACACCGCTAGTCCAAAGTGGATAGGGCCGGCTAAGGCTGATGCATCCAGATCAAAGACCTTTGGTACCTCCGCAAACATGACAAGCTCGAATGACCAAGTCCAATCCGCACCGAGCAAATCTTACATCCGCTCACTCAACCAGTTGTCTCTGACTCTTTTTGAAATAAGTGGAAGAGAGATGCTCAGACTCCAATGGGTTGGGAGGATCCAAGAACTAAAAGCCTTGGATGGCGCACAGATCTCGTTCTCGTCTTCTTCTTGTTGACCACCCTGGGTACCGAAAATGTCCTCACGCAAATATGTATCAAAGGACTTCTGAACATCTTCTGAAAGCAAGAAACTGCTGTCTCACGGCTTTCTCAAAGTGTCCTCGCCAGGGTTGTGCTGTTGTATCTTTCCGAGGGTGAGCAATTGAATCTGCGATTGCAACCTCAGCGCAAATCGGTTCATTTTTTTGAGCTACTGTATGCTACTGTAGTAACAAGGACGCTAGTAGGTGGAGGCCATCTCTATTAGGTTGGAGGCCATTACTACTAGTAGCAAGAAGCTACTAGTGGAAGCTCGCCTCGGTTCCCGATCTGAGCTGCACACATCTCAACCTGCTTTTTCAGAATTGAGACCTCCATTTCCATATCCATGGTCCCCTGCAATGGGAAACTGATCTCAAGGCTTTCCAAGCTTTTCATACAAAGCTGATGAGATAGGCGCATCCAATGCAAAAGTATCGTGGTGATAGGCAAAACATACTGGACGCTAAGGCTAGTGCAACAAAAGTGTTTTGCCATTTCATTTGATTGTCTTTCCGCGTGAGGTTAACGCTGAAAAGTACATGTTTCTGGAAGTCTGTGAGGATGCTGGCCTTTTCTTTGTTTGCATCCAACTTTTTGGACAGCTCCTCTTTCTTCTGCTCGGCCCTGAATTCAGACTCGCTCATCTGTTCAATGAATCCGAACAACCTTCCCTTGTTACGTTCGTAGCTTCTTGTTACTAGTAGTAAGGCCAGGAGCCCCGTTCGTAGCGTCCGATCGCTCCTAGTAGCGATGCCAGGAGCCCCTAGCTTATGATCCTTGCATCATCGTGATCCATAAACTATTCCCGACAAGTGCGTAAAGAATTCCAAGGCGAAGGCTTCTAAAGACCACCTTCAACCCAAGAACGGCCCTAACTTGTTACTAGTAGCGATGCCCTTGTTTCTAATAGCTTCTTGTTACTGTTTTGACTGATTTCTCACCAAGGAGCAGGTACCGTTTCTCTGGGCTGTTGAGCTTGGACCACCAGGTGTACTGGCTCAAGCTCTCTTTCAGCTTCGCAGCTTGAAAGTACGTCGCCTAAGGTGGCAGGATCGATTGTCAAACGATGGCTAGGTCAAGCCATCAGGAAAGAAGCAGGGAAGGAGCGGAATCTGAAAAACAAGGGGAACATACAGAAAGGGGTCTAAGGGTTTTAAGAAAAGAAACCACTTCCGGGCTGTGAAATGAGTCGCAGCCAGCAAGAAGCTACTAGAGGCTGGGACAGGGTGAAGGGTACTTGATTTTCAACTAAGCTTACCTTCTTGACTTGTCTTTCCTTTTTCGACAAGCGCACTCAAGAACGGACAGCACCTTGTCGTTATCCTTTTCGAAGGTACCATCATGAAACCTTAGGTGCGAGGCGTACCGAATGAGGTCTGTCGAAGGCCAAGGACTTCCAAAGACCAGACTTGTTTGGGGAACATTAAAAAAAACGGAAAAAATATGAAACAAGGATATACGTGTCCACAAAACAAAAAAAAATACAACGCATCATGAACTCAATGGCCCACTCCTCACAAGAATGCTTTGCATCTGGAAATCAAGAAAAAACATGTATCGTTGTCCTCTACTTGCTCGCACCTTCTCTTTGCTGCTCTTTGTTCTCTTTGTCTTTTGTTGTTTCTTTTCATTAGACCTTGAGACTTGTTTTTCTTCCCTTTTTGAAGCTTCATGTGTCTGGACCTGATTGGGAGCGATACGTGAAGCTTTCACTTGGTGATTCTTCAGTCCCTTCTTTGCAACAAGCAGCTGATGCTCCCAAACGTCCAGCCCAATTAGCTCACATGCGCGGGTGCACCGGAAGCCCGCCACCATGTCGATGACCCTTAAGAGACATCAGATCAGACTTCTGAAAGAATCTAGGTAAGCTGCAGTGCTCCTCTTTGGTCTTGGATGTTATTAAGCCTTACTACGAAGAATGATGCTGTTTTTCTTTGGTTCTTCCTTTGTCTTTCTACCTTTCTACCCTTGTTTCTTTCTTTCTATCAGACCATTCACAAAAAAAAGCTGTCCGGACTCAATCCAGCTACACTGCATCAGCATGTCCGGTACTTCGTAGCACCCAAATGTCCGCCATCGATGAATGGGGACAACCCCTAGTAGCACTCAAATGTTGGACATGGATGTTCCTCCGCCTATGCTACGTTTCTCTTAGACCTACGTAGAGCTCACGTCAGCGAAGCTTCCTTATCTATGTGATAGATACATGTCTTTTATTGTCTTTTTCTTCCTTCTTAGACCTGTAGACCTTTCCTTTCTTTGACCAAATCTGTATATATTCTGGTTCACTATCCAACCCGTCAGTCAAGGCTCAGCACCGAGACATAGGTGATGCCAATTGAGATGCCGCACAGGACGACCATTCCTAGAAGCTGAATTCCCATCAATTGCCAGGCTGCTTCACCACCACCTGGAAAGCGCTAAGTCGAACCAGGATCATGCTCAGCAGGTGAATCAAGCAACCTACGGAAGAGATGGCCTTCAACCTACTAGCAATCAATATGAATAGACGTTTGATGAAATTTGCTAGTTGCCCAAATGCCCATGTCCTGCTTCACAGATTCATTTGGGCTCTAAGCTGGAGTATATGCTGTGGCGAAACGTTGAGCATATCCGGTCATACCCTCTAGAAATGTGTGCGATTGCAACATCATGGAATATCATGGATACGACTGAAAACCATCAATATAAATGTCTTCTCGGTTGGTGGCCATCGCTTCTAGGTTGGAGGCCATCGGCCATTGCTTCTAGATTGGAGGCCATCGCTTCTAGGGTGGAGGCCATTGCTTCTAGGTTGGAGGCCATCTCTAGTAGGTTGGAGGCCATTGCTATAAGGTTGGAGGCCTTGCCAGTAGGTTGGAGACCATGGCTAGTAGGGTGGAGGCCATCGCTAATATGGTGGAGACCATTGCAAGTTCGGTGGTTGCTTGCCACAAATATCCCCCAATGCCTGCTTCACAGTAGATTCGCTTGGGCTGTAAGATGGAGTATTTGCTGTAGCGAAACGTTGAACGTTGAGCATACCCACTGGAATAATTTGTGACTGCAACATCATGGAAAATCAAACTGGACTCTCTAGGAACAGGTGCATCGCGACTAGTAACAAATGCATTACTACTAGTAACAAGAAGCTACTAGTAACAAAGGCATCGCTACTAGTAACTGGACTTCATGGATACGTCAAGACCAATGAAGTCAGACGTCGGCCAGTGTCGCCGCCGAGGAGCCAAACACTAGGCCAACAACCTCAGGATTTGCGCAGTGTTTGTCGGCAAATAGCGCCACCGCAATGGCTCCCCAAGCCTCAGGTGAATGGACTCTCAACTGTGTAGATATGTGTCATATTATGTGCATATACTTGTGTATATATAGTATAACTTTTTAGTATTGCATATATTTAGACTGACGCATGGGGAACTGGTCCACCTTGGTCTAGATTTGTTGGCTAGACATAAGACATCACGTAAGATCGTTTTCAGTGGGTGGGTCGGCCATGAACAGCAAGTAGAAAGAGAAAGCCAAGGAGTAAAAAAAGGCTACTGAGGTCCTTCGGGGGAGTTTCTCCCACCTGAGGGCAAGCAAAAAGCTTCCTTCAAGAGCCCTCGTTGAACGAACTGGATGTTTTTTTGATACAATTGGGCTGATTAGGATGCTTTCAATCGGGCAGTGAAGTAATGGATGCTTCCCTTGATCGACATCCCTTTGCCAAGGTGCTCCACTCGGGCCATGGGCTGCTACTGCCCCCACTGCATCGTCAATTTGAAAATATGAAAGGATCTCCTGCAGCACGCTTTCGCGCAAAACCGAGTGAACATACATCACTGTCAAAGCAAAGCCTGTTCACGCTTGCTGTGGAAAGGCCTCTGACTTTTGTTCTCGAAGGCAACCAAACACTTGTCACGCTTGAGTCTTCTTCTCTGTGCGTTCATCCGAAAGGTAAAAGCACAAAAAATAAAGCTGCCTCAAAGCCAAGGGTGAGAATCGCCGCTACAAATCCTCTCAGCTCGGGTGACAGAACTTTGGACCAGAATTCAAAACGCTCTTCCTAGTAGCTCCTAGTAGCTCCTTGTTTCTAGCAGCTTCTTGTTCCTAGTAGTACGGCCAGGAGCCCCTAGTAGCGTCCTTGATCCTAGTAGCGATGCCAGGAGCCCCTATTTTCTGGTTTCAGCCCTCCTCCCAACTAGAATTCCTCGGATTGTCCATCCGCACAAGTGCAATGCTGGACAGGCAGATGCATTAGCATGCATGAGAGAAGCCAGCGTTCTTTAAAAGTGTCAAAAGGGTCTGTTGACCAAGGAATGAGAAAAAAAAGCAAAACAACACATCGCAATACTAGACAAAGTAGCTATTTGTTACTACTAAGTTACTAGTATGGTGCCTTGTTCCTAGTAGCACAAATTGGATCGACGGACTGAAGGCGTCCACAAGCTCGCTTGCGTTCGCCGTCTTTGGCTGTCCTACGAGGGGAGAGACTGACCTTAGATCGGAACAGCTACCGATCTCCAACCTGCTAGCAAACTATGTTAGAAAGGAAAACAACTAATTACTATATATATATATTGTGTTGTTTTTTGTGTTTAAGGGGGTAGGCCGCTAGTAGCTAGTAGCTAGAGAGGAATAGCTAGTAGACTAAGTAGCTACTAACTACTGGACGCAGGATAGCTCGCGCTTCTTCAAGGAAACTCCACCCTTCCTTGAAGAAGCACTCGCACTAATGATTTGGTTCCTAGATTTTTAGGGAAACTTAACTAAAAGCGATGGCCTCCAACCTAGAACAAAGCTAAAAACAAAAGAAGGAAACACTTGGGTTCTGAAAGCGTACTGTACAAACACCAGCTGACAACGGCATCACCGCTGCGGGTGCGCAGGACGCTACAAGGCTCCCAATGACCGCGTTGGTCAGTTCGGGGACACGAACCACCGTTGATCTTGTGTAGAGCATCGAAAACAGCATGCCTCGGGGGTCGAAAGGCCGAAAGCATCAGTAGCAAGTATATTCATTGGTGCATCCGTTTTATGTCTGCGCCTTACAAGTTTGCACTCAAAATTCCATCCTTTTAGGAGACAAAACGCCAAGTTTGAAGCCATCGAGCCTCCAACTCCACCACCAGCGGCCGCCAAGAGCGTCGTGGCAGAGCTATGTGCAACGACTAAGTCAGCCCTCAGGTGTAGAGAAAGCTCAAAGAGCCAAGAAAGCAAAAAAAGAATGCTCAAAGCGAAATGATTTTTTGAAGCCGCTCTGCCCCGACCTAATGGCCATGGCCTCCAACCTAGTAACGATGAATGCCTTAGAGTAGCCTTAATGACATTAGTAGCAGGCCTCGGCCTTAGATTCTTAGATGGCTTTGATGTTGACCTTACTGATGGCCTCAGGCCTTGGGTGGCATCCTTACCCATGGCTACAACTCACAAGAGAGCTTTCTTCTTCACTTACAAGAACGGTCTAGAGGAAAAAGCAGAGAGAAAGAATGAAACAGAAAAAGTGAAAGGCAAAAAAACCTTTGTGTTTTGGACTTGGACCTTGGTGCGTTGCATTAGCAAGCACGCTAAACGTAAATGACACAAGCGCTGACCTCTAAAAGCCTGTCATGGTACATGCGTGTGTGTGTGTGTGTGTCAACCCCTGTTTCCAAGGGTTCCACCTTACAATTTCCATTGTTCACGCAGGGGGACTGCCTGACTCTTAACAGCGGCAGTCCAACGAAGAGGCTGTTTTGAGTCACTGATATGGATTCTGGACGCAGAATCCACGTACCTGCTGACTAACTGTTGACCACGCTGTCCAATTCACTCTTTTTGTTTCCATGGTTCTTCATGCTACCTACCCCAAAAACAGGTTTCCCACTGCATTGCAGCTGCTGAACGCCGCTTCCACTTGCGCTCTTTGTGAAACCTTGTTCAACAAGACTTTTCTGCGGACCCATGCACCTTTCCGTTCCTTCACCTTCCTTCTCGACGTGGGAATTAATTGAGCTAACTGAAAACCAATGTCAGAATGTCAGAGAGTGTGTGTGTGTGTGTGTGTGTGTCAAAACAGTTTGTGGGCTAGACACGGAGTTGTTGACAACACGTGACTGCTCTTTGCACACAGGCTTTTCTGCTCCACATCCGCTACTTCTCCATTGTCCCAGTCATTTCCACCTACCTGTTCTTGCTCACAACAAGCTGCCCCAGCGTGGTAGCGAAGGTTGATGCTGGGTTGAAGGCCAAAAAGCCCACGAGCAGGAGGAAAGTTCCTCAGTCCACCACTTGAAGTGTGGTCAGAAAGAGTCTTCCAGAAATGCTGAAGCTATCAAAGAGAATAATTAAGATGTTCCGCCATCAAAGGCGAATCTATATTTGATTAAAGTATGCTGCCTCGAACAAATCCAAGAATGGTCGCGACTGGTTGCGCGTCACAGCGGGCACAGGAAAAATGTTGGATGTGTTGAGGTCACATTTGCCCAAACAGGAGTATGTCGGCTGGCCGTACAACAAGTCTAGCTTCAGCAACGCTTTCTTTGGAGAGTTTTTGGCTTTACAAGAGTTATATACTTTGTTTGACCTAGGCTCCGAATAGAAGCTGGACCGGATGCCGGCATTTCCGGAAAGGAATGAAGACCTTCAGCTCCGCTGGATCCTTCAATTGAGAAAAACTCTGCCACTACATGAGCATGAGACTCGTGCCCATGTCCAACTGTGGGTTGGCCACACGCAAAAGACGACGCAAAATGATTCCAACCTGCAACTGCCTTCCCCGAATCAATGATGCCAGTTTGAAAGCTCTCCAACTCCCATTTCCCAACTCTTGTCCAACTGCCTCCGGTTCTCGGTAATAAGCATCATCATGTGTTTCGAAAAAGAAGACCTCGTCTCGGCGTGACGCGTGATGTGACTCGATTTCGACACTGTCAGGTCTCGGCATGGTCTCAGCAGAATGCGACGATGTTTCACAAATGGTCCTACTCAATGCTACTAGAAGACCATGCTAAGGCTGCAACCTGTCCCTTACTTTTGGTCTTTCTATGAAAGACAATGAACTCCAATCCCATCTTGCCAGGGCGCGGCCCAAATACCCTTCCAGGCACGATAGTTCTTGAAGCGACCAATGCGTGGCCCTAAGATGCAGGTGGAGACCAAAGCGCTCACCGCGCCCACCTCACGGTGCACTCGCCACCCAACCCCCCTCCGTGCCGTTCTTCGGCTTCTTGTTACTAGTAGTAAGGGGCCAGGAGCCCCTAGTAGCGTCCTTTCTCCTAGTAGCGATGCCCTTTGCTCCTAGTAGCTTCTTGCTCCTAGTAGTAGGGCCTGGAGCCGCTAGTTTTTCCTTGCTCCTAGTAGTGATGCCCTTTGCTCCTATAGCTATTTGCTACTAGTAGTAAGCTGCCTTGTTACTAGTAGCGTCCTTGCTACTATAGCAGTAATGCCAGGAGCTACTAGTAGCTTCTTGTTAGTTTTGGTGGCTGCTCAACCGATGGGGAAATCAAGGTTCAATCAGTCGGTCAGAGTCCAATCTCAAAGTCCTCTAGCAGCTTGCTTAGGCTTGCTTAGGTCTTAGGCTTGCTTTGGCCTCAGTTTTGCTATGGCTTGCTTGTCGTCAAGGTAGAGGTCACTATTCCCTTCTGAGTCTCACATGCAAAATCATTGGATCGAAAGAGAAACACCTACAATCAAATCCAGGCAGGGTCGTTCCATGTCGTTCTACATGTTCCACAGACGTGCCTGGTGAACCACCACGGAGCCTGCAAAGTCGACAAAACCCATCTGCTGCAGCCAGCCATTGCCCCACGACAAATGTGCACAAATCCTCAACTCCGGACATCGTCAAGACGATATTGGAAGTCACAAGTCAATGTCGGCTGGACGTCTATCCACCATCCAAAAGCAACTCCTGCGAGTCTGCTTTGCTTGTGGAAATCTGACGCAAGTATGGTTCTAGCTTCTCACTTGGAAGTTCTTGGATTGTATCTGCCGAGACTCGGGTAAAGGACACCGGTCATCACTGCTGATAGGAATAGATAGGGGAAGAAAGCGACTCGGCCCGCCAAGGCCCCACTATTGATGGTGGCGGCCGTCGTCGCATAGGAAAAGCAGCAAAACCAGTGTGCCAGGTCGACACCCGCATCTGCCAAGCCTCGAGGGCTGAACGAAAAATGATTGGGATTCTGTCTGCCAAGCTCTGGATATCTTTGGCATCCTGCCTGTGAGCTGATGTGTAGCGTGGTAGGCAATGTAGTAGCCAAAGATCCAAAACGCCAACACACCTGAGCTGATCAAACACAGCAAGAAACACACCTTGAGATCTACCTCCGCAAAGGCTCCAACCTTGAGATGTTGGAAAACAGCAGGTGACAATCGCATTGACCCTCTCAAAAACAGTGGTGCCAGAAATTGACCCCCAGCATGCTGCTCTTCTCGTTCATGTTCACAACAAATTGTCACGTGTCCACTGGAAACTACTAAAGGATGAAGAATGTGTCCAAGGCAACAACGTTGACTGTATCTCTCTGTGACTTGGAACGGGCACCGATACAAAGATCCAGCATGTTCTTCATCATGATGTTTGCCGAATTGTTTGGCTGTTGGTATGCAGACCTTGAGCGAACACATAATGAAACATCAAAGCACTGCAAATCCAGAACAGTTCTGAAAACAATATGAAAACATCTAGTTTGCTTCTTCTACAAGTCAACGAAACAAACTCACAACCATCAGCAAACGAAATCTTGCATTCCTTTGAAAGGTTGCAAATGCTGAATGTCACTGAGCAACTCGAGCATAGCAAAACCTGACTGCATCTGAATGATGCGCGCTGCCATTGTAACCTTGGAAGTTTCTCTTCAAGATCCATCGTGGATCCGTTACATTTTTGTCGATTGAAAGTGAACGAGAACACCTATTGCCAGTGAAAGCAGCTAAAACCAAGTCCAACCCCGTAGGCCAAACAATATTGTTCGGAAAGCCAAGCAGCGACAAAGATCGTATCCGCTCTGTGTTGGCCGCGAAAGGCTTGGCATTCGGCCGTGGCATCGTACTGCATTTCGGCGATCCACCTCGTCAAGGGAAAGGATAACAAAACATCAAAAAAACCCTATGATTTTGCCAGGACTTGAACTTGAGGCCGAGGGTTGGTGACGAAAGCTAGCAGGGCGGGGGTGAGCATGGAAATCACACGTGTCAAAGACGTCCTAGGGAGGAGTTGAAGCCGCAGGGGGGGGCCGACCTACAACTTGACGCGATGCGGCACGCTCGAGGATTCAAACCCCTCACTTGCTAAATCAAAAATAATTCCAGCTAGCTGGTGCTAGCTTTCGTGGAAAAAACGTCATTTCCTTATTGTGGACCCCTTTCAGATATTGCAAACCCTTTGCGACTTTACGACTAGAATATGTTTGGATCATTTGTCGTCTACCAAGATAAATTAACGTGACGTTCTTTGTTGCCAAACTCATCTTTTTGACACTTGACGCTTGAAATGCGCTCTTGAAGCCAGCAAGAAGGTTTTCACGTTCCTGCCCTTCTCGGCCTCTCATCTGGCAAAAGCCCCGTGAGGTTCAACCCCACTCCCGCCATGGCCAACAGCGATTCACCGCCGCCCACAGACCGCGGGGGAGTCGGGAGGCCTTTGGCCCTGGCTGCGAACCATCACAAAGGATGATGCATCACGGTCTCAACTATTGCACTCAAACGCATCTACAGTTTTCAGCACCACAAACAAAATTACTTAATTTTCACTGATCACCACCTTGAGAAACGCTGCCTGACATGTATCAGCCGACCCCTGGGTCTCTCTCACCGACATTTGCCTGCAGGGCTCAGTCGCCCCTCCTGGGACGCAGGTTTCGGAAGAAGGTTATGATTTTACATGTGTACTGGACTTCAAGACTCTCAAAAAGTCTGTGGTGGCGTGGTGTGGCTAATAAGCCTACTATAAGTCTATTGGGGTGGGATTGTTGGACGTACTTGTCTCTTTCTCTCAAAGTGTAACTTGCTATCAACGATAATGTATAACAATGTCTGACTCCAACAACTAGTTCAGCTCAAATAAGTACAGCTCCATGGCCTACAGAACCATCTTTGTTGCTCTAGGTATCCAGGCCAAATCGGGTGCTCACGCAGCACCACGTCCAGGGCCTTGGAAATCGAGCATCCCTCCCAAAATGGGCATGACGAAGCCTAAAGGTACACCCCAAGCATACATGAAAGACACCAAGTCTTGCAGATGTGTTTCTGACAAGACTTTCCTGACCAGCCACCTATTAGCCTATCACCCACCTATCGCTACCTTACTTGCTTGCCCTCAAAGCAACCCACATGTAACGTGTTGAGATGCCAATTCCCAAGAGCCTGACGGCTCCCTCACAAAGTGTCAGGCCTCTGCGCAGGTCGGTCGGTTGAAGCGGGGAAGAAACTCGCCGGCCGGTCGGAACATCAAATCTATATATCTATATATATATATATATTTGCTTGGATGCTTAATAGGAACCGGGAAAAGGAACTATTTCCCAGATTCACTCATGGGAAAACAAAGAATAATACAGTAGTCGCCTTATTCTTTGTTTGACCATGTTTCTTAAAAAACTTATAGCGGGGTACTATTTTAGCGACTGAATACAAGTAATAATGCTGTACCTCGATATTCACCTTATAGAAGAACTTGGTCTCTTTGACAGGGTTCAGTATCATCCATGAAGGGAAAGACTGACCTTTAAAGTCATTGAAGAAGTGGGCATGTATTAAAATTGGAAGACCTCCCAGTTCAACCCCAAGGAATGTTCGGAATAGCCGTTCGGGCAATCATGGCGCCCGGGCATCAGCTTTGCGACGTGCTCCAAGAAAGCCTGGCAGAGTTCGATCCACCACTCACCCTACCTCCAAGCTGCTAGAATCTCGAACTTGGATGATTTGGATTTCTGGTTGGCCGGGCCACACTCTCGCTCATGATCTTCATCTTCACTTCTCCAAACTGCATCACCCCAAACGTCGTTGGAACTTCCGAAACCCCAAGATTGTGGCGAACAGCGAAGTGGAAGTTGTATTGGAAGTGGAGGTGGCTGGGCTGGGCATGGTCTTGCGATCACGCCGCAGCCCGCCCAAGAGATACGGCAGAGAGATGGATCCAACATGCCGCATGCCATATAAGGGCCATCATGGCTGAATCTATAGTATCAAAAGCCCAATACTTTGTTCAAGGCAACTCACTCGTTCTTTCCATACCTGCAATTTAGGGGGTGGGTAACCCTTTGATTCACCCATCGTCTCCAATTTCCGTGCTAGATCCTTCTTTCATTCCTCTCCCATCCCTCTTCCCACCCCACCAACCACAAAAACCCAGTGGCGGAGACCTTCCCGCTACAAAAGTGCAAGTTGCCTCTCCGAGGCGTGGGACGGAGAATCCACCCTTTTCAGCGGAGGGTTGGAGAAGAAACCACGTCTCAGCTGTCATTCAGTCAATGGAAGTGTTCCGTGACTCAACAGAACATAAGTGCTCAGAAGTGAACATAAGAGCCCCATTCAGTTCACTTCTGTGCAGAAGTGTTCAGAGACGGCATGCAGAAGAGAAAATTCGGACGGTGCTTAACTGTCCATTATATAGCAGTCTTGAAAAGCGAGTCCACTAGCTCGACTCTTCGCTGCTGGTGAGGCAGAAAACCACATCCAAACCTCAAAGGATGTACCGCCTCAAGGTCTCCTCAATCTCGGGTGTGCCCAGTTTGGGATGCGTCCCACACGTTTTCACTCCGGGACTCGCTTCAATCCTCTAGGCTGTCATGTCGCGCTGGATCCGGATGCCCGAGCCCCCCCTGTTTTGGTCACCGGGGTCGGAGGGGTCCACTTCCCAGCACCAGCACCTTCAAAGGGGTTCACCAATGGAGGCCCCTACACTACCTAGGGATCTCCATTGGACACCCCTTTGAAGGTCCAGGCATGGACTTCGATCAACGGCTTGGTTTTTTAAAATGTTTCTTGTGCTTCTAGAGGGTCAGCCGCTGAAGAATGGGTGACTCCTCACCACCTTCCACGACCGTCTGTCCCAGCGGCCCATGCCCAGTGGCGGGGTGGTGTTCGGCAGGGAGACACTCTGACGGTCTCACATCACATGATGACGTGAATGGCATGGTCCCTTGGATGACCCTTTTAAGCAGGTGGTTTCGCACTTGCGTGGTCTAGTTGCTGATGACCCTCCAGAAGCACAAAAAACATTTTAAAAAACCAAGCCGTTGATCGAAGTCCATGCCTGGACCTTCAAAGGCTGTCCAATGGAGATCCCTACAAAGTGTAGGGGCCTCCATTGGTGACCCCTTTGAAGGTGCTGGTGCTGGTCATTTATCGTTCATAGTAACTTAACGATTACATGCATTAAATGCATTCTTTGGGAGGGGCAGATGATCGAAACACGAAAAAAGATGAGCAGATGATCGATGACACCCCCAAACTAGCGGCTGAAACCAGGAAACACAGTGACAACAACCAGGACCCCCTGTCAGGGTGGTGAATGAATAGACGCCCCGTTGAACCTTGATCCCGACACCCCGGAAATTGCAGGGGAAGGCGTGGGTGTTTTGGGATCTCTTCTTTGATCGTTTGTCATGAGACATGAGATCGGGGTGTCTCTGGCTGCTTTTTGGGGGGACGGCTGAGGAGTGGCTGAGGAAGAAAAACCCCTCTGACCCCGGTGACCAAAACAGGGGGGGGCTCGGGCATCCGGATCCAGCGCGACCGCTGGGGTGAGCGACGCACGACCAGGCCCTAGATGGTGGAGAAGCACCAAGGACCGATGAGTTCTCGAAGTCTCCATCCTCTGACACGCCGACCGTGCGCCAACCTCCACCACTGGAGCTGGCACCGCCCAGGACCTGTCAGCTCTCGTGGTCGCTTTGAAAAAACCGTCCTGTCCTTTCCTCCCACCAATGCTGCAACGGTTCAATCCATTCATATTCATGAAACACCCCAACCGAATTCTCCGCGACCCCAAACCGCACCGCACCTGAGGCTGGGCCGTTTCAAAGCGGAAGGCCATGGCAGCCAATCACGACGGAGGGGGGCTGAGGCTCGTAACAACACCTGGGTCTTGCAAGCCCGAGGCAGCCATGGAGAAAGGACCCGAGGCAGTCACCGGGGTTGCAGCCGCCTATGGAATCACACGGCCTTTTGCTATCAAAGCAGTGACTGATCAGTGGATTTTGGGGAGAACCGGCCCATCCATTTCTTGTCTCCATCCTCTGACACGTCGACCGTGCGCCAACCTCCCCGGGTGGGGGTAAGCCACCCCTGCAAGCATCCCCTAACCAACCTGTTCGGTGATGTGGGGGTACCCCTGGAATATTCCTGACATCATCCAATACGATCCAAGGACCCATGATCAATCAAGGACAACACCGCCGAGCAGGATGACTTCGACAACCACGGAAAAATCCCTGCAGGACGGAAAATCAGATTGGAATTCACATGAAGTGAACTTAACCAATCCAAAACGAGGCCTAATGTTGAGGCCTTTTTTCCAGGTAGTCAAGCCAAGTCAACCAATACTTAAGAATAGGACTGAAGCACCTTCGAAGGAAGACGAAGGTTGAAAGAGGAGTAAACTCCGCAAGAAAAGAAACCCAGCAAAGGCACGAGCTAGCTAGCAAAACATGCCTGCTAAACATACTTTCATGGGTTGTTTCGGGTTGCCCTGTTCAGAATCCTTCTGAACGTTTTGCCCCCCAAAGCTCATCCAGATCTGCGCTTGGGCACTGTGGGGCGAACCAGATCTTTTTCAACGAGATCACAGGTTGGAGCCCCACATCGTCGGACAGGTTGGTTGAGGAGACAGGACCAAGGTTTCAACGTCCTGGGGCCTCCTAGACTTGCATGCATAGCAGCCGG